TTTCTAAAAATTTAAATAAAAACATTTTCTGGATTTTTATTATAATTATGATGCTCATTTTCCGTGATTCATAAAATAAATTTCGCGAATATAAAATATAAATATCTTAGCAATCATATTCCTTTCAATATATATATATTAATAATCATATTCAATATTCGGACGATTCAATTAAAAGAATGAATATCTATATATATTTTTTTAAAGATATTTTGAATTATATATTTAATTTTTGCTTGTAAAAATTCTCTTTAAATATATAAAAACGAATTTCACTTTATGAATATCTTATTTTCTAATCTTCCTAGGTATTCTGAATTCTTCATATTGGAATTCTATCGATAATAATAATATATTTTTTTCGATTAATAAATACCTAGAATTCTAGATATATCCAGATATATTTCCATGACAGAAGCAGGCAAAGCCTCTTTTCGATCCTTTGGCGCTAACAAATCGTTGCGCATTTATAAATACGCAGCTTCCGTGGAGCCAACTGACCCTTGCACGCGGCCCACAAGTGTGCTCCAAGCTTTAGGCCCTTACGCGTTTCAGGTCTGTGCAAGATTAATATATAGCTTGCTAAGATTCTAGCCAACCGTGCGGTAACAAGGCTAGATTTAGACGATTAGAGAAATCGAAAATAGAGTGCTCCTCTGTGTTCTGAATCCTGTGCAAAAATTATTATTAATTACTAGTATTAGAAAAAATTAAAGAGTAATAATAAGTTTACATACGCCTAGCAATTCGGGACTCAATTTTTTTTATCCACAACCATAATCTCATAAATAAATTACGCCCAATCAAAATTATAAAATAAACATACAAAAAAATTCATTCAAGTTACAAGCAAATTATAGTCTTACTAACGCCCAGCTCTATAGATCAATAATAGCGGTAACGATAATAATATCAATAATAAATATCATCAAATAAAATACTAATTCAAATGCTAAATAACAATAATTATCAATAAAATAATTCGTCCTTATCGTTATCTTAAATATAAAACGAACCTTAACGAGATTAAAATAAAAAAACACGAGAAAAAATAATAATTCTTACTCATAATAATACGGATTTTTTTGCAGAAAATCTGTAATAATTTCTGGAATTTTTTTTATAGATTTTCTGCAAAAAATAACGCCCTCTCTTCTTACTAATAGAATCATTAAAATAACAATTACCCACCCGAATCTCAAATCAAATCCGTAAATTTCAAACCTCAAACCCTAAATTTTAAGCGTTCTACGGCACGAAATAACAGAGAATATATCTATAATATATATACATCTATAATGTAAGAATTTTCGCAATTTATTATTTTCTTTTCGTCACCCATCGTAAATCTTTCGTAGATACCTCATTTAAAAAAACCGTTATTATCTCGACAAGGACCTTTAGATCAATGCTCATATTTGTAATTGGCAAAGTGCAAGCCCCTAACCAACCCGTCTTGGAGGAATTCATAAATAAATATTTCTCGAAATCTGGTTCAAAATGAGGGGTCTCGAAAAAGTGAATACTAATCATTTTAGATACGAATAGATTGTCTCGCCATTGTAGACAATACTTCAATTCACTTCTGAACACCAGTATCTATTATTTGCAATTTATATTCCATTATTACTAGCTTGTATGATTATTTGCTCAAGCAGTATTATACTTACTTGCTAACACGAAAAGTATCAAGAACTGCTCATGTCTCCAATACATGCCGGGAAGCAATCTGGCCCTGGTTCTGAAGCCCCGCAGAAGCGAGCAACTCATCTTGGCTGAGGTGTATTGGTCGACCACAATGTATCACTTCGTCGTCATGGTCAGATCCCTAATGTGATGCAAAACGAAAACAAGGCTGCCGTAAGAAAGCTGCAGAACCTGCTTTTTTTCAGACATCGATGGGAGTTGCGGAGACGCCGCTGCCGGTGCCCGGCGTCATCCACCTCAAGATTCAAGGAGCCCCGCTGATCGAACCTGTTGTGCCGTGCACTTGGGCTGCTCAGGCATTACAATCAACTTCAAGCATTCGCAGGAGTTTGCTCCAAATCGGGGATGGCTACATCCCATACTCACCTCTCGGCTGTCAAGCTTCAAAGCCACTTTTAAAACCAGCAGAAAACCTCCCTGCAGCAGCAGCGTCCAGGGCAGCCAGGGCACATCTTGTTTTGCCGGAACCTCGGTTCAGGTCATTAGAACAAGTGTTAACTGCCGGACTTCGACTGGAAGTGCTTGAGCACAATAAAAAATCAGGAGCTCGCGAGAAAACCAGCCGCTCCTGAGCGAGGACATCAGCACCCAGAATGACCTGGCAATGAATCCCGAGGTTCTAGTTGTGACCTGGTTTTGTTTACAAAGCTACATAGATGGGCAGATGCATGCTGCAGTTCGGCTTGCCATGATGTGAAACAAATTCATGAGGTGTTAATAAGTAGTTGGATACTCTGAGAAGGACCATTGCGATATTGTGTTCAGAAAATGCTGCAGATATGCAGAGCTAGAGCAGGTACTACCGCTACATGACAATCGAACGAGATGACACGGCACTATGGCTTCAAGGTTGAACAACAGCGCTAAGATTCGGGCCGCTCCACCACCACCATAAAAATAATATTAGTGATCATTTGCTTGACCATGAATTCCGACAAGACAATTTGCACCTAGCCCGACACGTGCCAGCGTCACCGTGGGCCACTCCGTGAGCTTCAGCTCCTTCGCAGTACATAAGAATGTCGCCGTGGCACACAGCGACAGCCGCGTATCCTTACCTTTGCTGTTTAACCACGCACTTTCCGAGTCGAGCCAACAGACCGTTGCGCGTGCATTCGCCTGCGACTGCGCTCCCAGTCAAAGATTGAATCACTTGCTCAGTCGCACCACAGACGAAACTAGCAGGACATCGAGCGTTTATGATGGCGATGGTGCTGAGTCACTTATCACCATTGCACTGCAGCAATACATGATTCTGGCACAGATGTCTTCGGATTCTGATCGTTCGTGCGCAGCACTCGCAGGTCGATTCGTCCAGGTGTCGAGCTGCTTTTTGTCGACGCTTCATTATCAAGTTGCACAGTTGCTTTGCATGACCTACCTGGACCGCTTGTCATCAAGTTGCTGCGTCCTACAATCCTAACTCTGTCTGCTTTGGAGGGCCTCGAAGGGGTCCAAGTCGCCCGCCAAGGCTGCACCTGCTCGTCTGAAGCGCCGAAGTCCGACTGGAACCCTACCCCAACTTCTTTCGCTGATATCGGGGACTGAATATTTCTTAGGAATCTCCCCTGGCAGTTACTCGATAATCACAGAACTCTACGACCGTTACGTATTCCTTTCTAACCACGGTACCTGCCTGGAGCACGAAAAAGCGGCCTTTCTTGTGGTGCAGATAAACTGAAATCAGACTTTGAAAAGCCTGGTGTAAACGAATTGAAGCCAAAAAGCCTCTGATCTCGACAGCTAAGCCCTTCTGCACTCCACCCCAAACAGTGAGTACGAAACCCTGAATGATCCCCAAGTCTAAACCGAAACCTAAAGGACACACACACACACTCACTCACTTGGGTCTCACACATCTGGCCCTGCCCAGCCTTGCCGTATTGCAAGGCGGGGCCTTCCATTCAAGAGGAAGAACACAGCCAATATTCATGAAACACGCATGTCGAGGGTCGTGCTCGATCTCACCAAAGATCCAGGGCCCGAGCCCCTTTCCAATGCCAAAGGTGGCAGGAAGCTCCTCCAGCTTCCTGCTCGAACTGGACCTGCCAGGGCAGATTCTTCTTGGCTTTGTAACCGGCATAACTTTGCAGGGTTTTTTTTCTCGCGCCAAAGGTATGGAAACCAGTCTGGATCCACTCAAGGCGACCCTGTCTGGGCACCTCTTCTTCGTCTTCGACTCTTTGACCGTCAGGCCCGACCCGAAGCCAGTGGACTTCTTTTGCGCTTTCTCCTTGTCAGCCGCCGCTTCAACTATCCAATGTGGTCAGACGTTCAACCGCTCTTTTCATTCGCAGCTTACCTGCGAGTCTGCCCTCTACCCTCACACCACGCCGTGCTCCACAACTGCCTAGGAATGCACGCACTTTTGGGCCCTTCCTTCAATCAGCGCCGCGTAGCCATGTCTCTTTATGTATAACTAGCCCGCTGCATGAGCTCGGTGTTCAAGCTCTGCAGTGAGCTGTTCACGGTGTTCGTGCATACCCAGGCATCTGTCCACACAAAGCTCAAGGCCCACAATGAAGTCAACCGCCGCTGATGTAAATGGTGGGTATGTTCGAACGGCTACAATGCTGTGAAGGCAGAGCATCTGTCAACCTCTGTCAACCTCACACCTGTCGGCTGACATAGCACCGGATATGCAATCGATCATTCCGTGCTTTTCAGCCCTACATACTCCAACGGCCAAAATAGTTGACAGGTGCTCGTAGTTCAGGCTTCCTATGTACATTTCTTTCATTTGTTTCGTCGCTCCGCTCGAGGCAAAGGCACGGCCGTGTTCGTCTCAAGCCGGCCAGAATCCACGAGATTTTGCCAACCACGATTTTTCTGCATGCCCTCAGCCCGGAAACGACCGGCCTGATGCCCAGTGTCTACTTGAGGACCTGAGCTCAGCCACGGAGTTGGTCTGCGCACTGGCAGTTGAAGTGGGGGACTTTAGGAAGCGTTACAGTCCTTGCACGGCAGATCTTTGCTTGTGGCTCATCCACCTAGCCTTGAAGTGAGGATGCACACGTAGTTGTGACGAAACGAAGCCGCGACTGCATTCCAGCGCAAAACTTGCCGGCGACTGCTGCTGAGTCACGTTTGGGCACAGAAAACCAAAGCAGGAGACTTCCTCCTTGACGATAGTGTACCTGCAACACAGCCGCAGGACTGCGTTAGCAGCATTGATCTGAGCACTCATGACCAGACTTCAACCGGCAATTTCCGAAGACACTGAACTTAAGTCGTGTGCGGTCACTTCCCATCTGTGAGCATTGGAAGAGGTTTGCTTGCCTTCGTCGTGACCATCAGCTACAGTAGCCAACAGCCCGAAATTTGCTGCCAGAACACAGAGGGGCCGCCCCCGAAGTGGGATTCGTCGAGATGGCAATATCCAGAAGACCAGAGGCCTAGCGCCACGAGCAGCATGGGGCTGCAAGGCGTTTGGTTTGGTAGATCTTGCGGAGGATTTATGGCTCTAGAAGCTTCTAGCCAGTCCAGAAGATTGAGAATCGATGTGCAACCCTTGAAGGACAACGGGTCAAAGACCGAGACACCAGCAGCTTCCAACTCACCAGGTATGAAGAGGACATCTTCCTAACCCCTATGACAGCGCGAGCATGAGCATCGCAGTTGAGCAGAGCTATGAGTTTCACACTGGCCGCACAGTGGCACTGCTCACCATGCTGCTGAATAGCCACGAATCGAGAAGACTGGCCTCGAAATCCAACGTCAACGACTCCAGTGTATCGCACTGTTGGTCCACTCCCGTCACGACCTTGTTCTTGCCTCAGTGGACTTCGAAGAACAGCCTTGATGATTCATATGTCAGTTGACCAGCTCTGGGGTCATGACGGAATCCCGTGCAGAGCCGCGGCCGACGACTGAGAAGCTGTGGATCCAAGAGCTCCGGCCCTGCAGCTTTGGCCGGCAACGCGATCTCGAACTTCATCTTGCTCGTGCACTTGTCCTTCTCCTGGCAGCTATATGCGCAGGGTACTTAGTCCGCCCAGCCCTGAAGGTCTACCTCCCCTGTGAACTGAGTGAACTCGCTGCAGGGGAGGCTCTCGAAAGACGTCGTTCTCCCCCACGCTCTCCACGCAGAACAAGCCTGGATCGGGGCCACTGCAAGTCTCCAGCGCAAAAAGCCTTTCCGAAAGTGCAACAGTGGAGCAGAATAGTGGAACCTTCCACCATTTTGCAGTCCAGCGACGATCTCCCGCGGCACGATGGCCAATTTGGCGAGCGCCAAACCGGGCGACCTGCGCTTTATCGGACGGATGACACTATTGGAGCCGATGCGACGCTTGGGCTTGGCGAAAAGAAGCAGCTTGTGAGCTTTTCTGAATACCCCGTCCCACCACGACGAGATCGCCACTGTCGCAATCCTTAAAAAACATCAGCTGAGTCGCTGAGGGCACATGCATGCGGCGCTTACAGCGCACTTTCTAGACTCTAGAGCTTGCGGCTGCCTGTGCTGGCACCGGCGCTGCAAGATCTCATCAAGGGTTCTTCTGTACGGAGATTCGCTGCCAATCTCTTGCCAACGAGGAGCAGCCAGCACAGATATGCGCGTTCTTTCTCTGGCTCGATCCTGGCCGACACAGACCTCGGAGGTTCGGAGGTTTGCGATATTTGAAGCAGTGCTGAGTCTCCAAAGGAAGGAATTCCCTGGAGACAATTCTCGGAAAGTCAAATGGCGAACTCGCAAAGCCGAGCCCGGGGTTCTTTACGCCATGGAATCGTTAAGGTGCAGAAACTGCTCACAATGGCGAGCCGGGGAACAGCTGCCTGTAAGGGCATCCGACATGATTTGGTCATTGTTGTGATGTCTTTCCAGCTAGGTTCTGTTTTGCTACGTTTAACCGTTTGTCGTTTCAGCATATCTTCTGTTTAGGGGGGGGGGCGTCTGTCGTGTTTATCCGAAGCGCCAAGAACTACACAACTGCACCTGATGCTGTCTCCTATTTGGGTCTCTCTTCTTGCTTCCTTTTCTGTTGGCGACGACCAATCACTAAGAATGCAGCCTCCAGTTCTTGGACGGTCCGAAATTTACTTCGAGCCACGAGTTCACAATGGAGATCTGGGATCTCGAGTCCCTGAAGACATGTAGATTTGCTACGAGCACTCCACGGAAGCTTTCACGCTTGACGTGAGCGCTCGAGCATGTGCTTGTCCACGTGTTTTTGGCCGTGTGATCTGCTGCTTGTGGGCGAAAGCGTGGATCTCGGAATGGCTGGGCGAAAGTAGCTGTCCCTTCTTGTGCAAAGTCTTCCCAAAAAAACTTAGCACGGGCCTCAGGCACTTTGCGCGGTGAAGTTGACAACCATTGACAAGCGGCACTGACGCTAGCTGCAGGCTCAGCCGGATCAACGGGGCTAAAGCCTAGGATCGAGAGACTTCAGTGTAGGCATGGGCTTCAGTGGTTGTCCAAGGCGGTATGCGAGCTTGCAACTCGTGTAGGCAACAGACCGAGAATCAGAAAGCCAGGACACTCAGCTCTTGCTTGAAGCCTTCGCCCTCACCTCCAGGGGAGATCGGGCGTAGGCAGGTTCATGCAGGTTCCAGCAATCGCTAGAAGCATTCGTGAGCGGATCATACTAAGAAGCCACACAGTGAACCTCAAAGCAAAAGCCCCCAAATCCCCACGGGGATACTAGGAGACCCTTTTCTAGACGAGGCGCAGGTCTTCTGTGGAAGTGCTTTTGAGAAGGAGGTCTCCTGCACCATGGAATGATGCCAACAAGAAGGAACAGCTGCCACAGTTGCCTTGCTTGGCATATTGTCCGCGTTAAAAATCGACAAAACGGGGCATCTCGCGTCTCTCGCAAAGAACGGGGCTTTGGTGCATCCTGCGGTCCTTGGGAATCTCATGGAATCTCTCTCGCATTTTTTCGTCGAATTGTATACTGTATAGGTTACCGAGTTATCGGGTGTAGCCTGAGTCTGAGTTGATGATATGGCAAATGTAACATACCCCTCAGTGGGGAAGTATCCCCACGGTGAACAAGGTTGAAAGATTCATCACCGGTGGGAGTCGCGCTGGCCAGCGGGGGTTGCTGCGGCATTGCTGCGCTCATACCGACATTCAGAATTGAAACGTGGGGCACAGATCCGCAAGACGTGCATGACCCGAAACGCCACCTCGACGCAACTTCAACACGACGGTGACGGCTAGTCCTCTGACTGGCCCTTGCGTGTGCCAACGCAGAAGGAGGACCCATCATTGGCGAAGAACGTACCTGCTGGCAGCCCTAAACAGCCACGGCTAGAAAACACGATTATCGGTCGCGAGAGATGCTCTGAGGATCCAACACAGCGAGTGTCAATTCAACTGCAGCCAACCATTCGAAATCACGCTATTATATTTCTGGGTTCTGGAATGCTAGGTTAGAGTGATTGATTTTAGGAAAGCGAGAACCTTCAAGTACATTGCAGACCGGTTGGAACACCTCGCCCGCCCTAGCGAACCACGATGGCAGCGTTCTTGGCTACTGGTAGAATTTTGACCGCCGGCTTCTTCTCCGCCTCCTCTGAAAAAGTTTTTTGCAGGGCCCTTGTCGCTCTAAAGCTCCGTCAGCAAACCCGGGCCTCCGTGTAGCCATTTCAGCCCTTGCCAGGAGGTGGGGCAGCTTGTGCCTGCACAGCACCAAACTGATTCAGATTGCAACGCGGCACTCCAGCCTGAGGTCGGAGACATGATGCTCCCAAAAAACGGATGTGAGACTCTGTGGCCTTTATGCCACTTGCCCCAAAGCAAGATTCCGGCCTTTCACAAAGATCTGAGTCCAATGCTTCTCGTTGTCGCACCAGGAGACAGCCTGTCCGACAAGTCCGTATGGCCCCTGTTCCACGTCTAAACGATAATGATTCGATATAGTTCGGCCCACAGGAGGGGACGGCTGCAGCCTCTGCGGACCCTCACCCTGGCAAAACTTCATCGCATGCTGCGGAGCTGAGTGTCCAAGCTTGGCTGTAAAGCACAAGGCAGCCACACGCGACAGTCAGAACACGCCACAGACTCGCTCCGTGCATGTTGCGGTTTTGTAAATGACAAATCACTGGAGGTGGTGCAACCAGAACCGAAAGCATCTCGGCATCAGCTTTTGGAAAAACCGTCAAGCTGCGCTTGCAGCAATGTATTGCATCGACTCGGACGCAAGATCTAGCCCTGCTCTAAGCTTTCGAAACAGAACCACACATCAAGAAGCGGGTCGTGCGCCTTTGTCCCAGGTTTCGGGGTGGCGTAGGCACGCCAAAGGCCGCCTTTCACCTCCGACAGGCGCGAGGGTCGCTAGGGAACCTTACATGCCTTCGGTGACCCGTCTCCTTTCTTGTGCCCCCGCATGTGCCACAATCTTGCACACTGCTTGGGATGTCCATAGGGCCTCAAAGCTAGGGCACCCAAAGCAAGCCCAGGCCTGGTTCCAGCCGCCGCCGCAGCTCTCTCCCAAGTGGATGCTGTACTTTGGGCCTCTGAGCTCCAGCTTCCGAGGCAGTTCTGAGCTGGTGTGCAAGGTGAAAGTGCCGCGAAATGATTCGCCACTCGGCTGCCCCTCTCGCAACTTCTACCTCTCTCTGTCCCAGGCCTTCGTGTTTCCAGTGGGAGGTGCAAATGCCTCAGATCCGACATCTGCCGGGTCCACCTGGACGCTCCGATTTGTCCGATGCAGGAAAGCTGCTGTAGAAGGTCGGGGGATTCATGAAGCTCTTCGCCTGCTGGAAGGCCTCCACGCTTTTGCGCATCGCGCAAAGTGAGGCGTCTTAACCAAGCGACTCAAGTGACAAAACCCAAGCTTGGCACCGTTTCTACCCTGCCTCCAGTATGGTCGAAGCAGGTCGAGGGTCCGCTACCATCAACCCCTGCCGGCTGCCGTTCGGGAGCGAGGGGCAAGCACTGTGCCAGTCTTTGGTGAGCTGCAACGAGCCCCATACTTGTTTCCCTCTCGCAGTGTCTCAAGCACTTGGACTTGATCTAAGGTGTTGGTTTTTTGGGTGGTAAGTTCAGGCTTAAGCGCTCAGCCCAATGCCACTGCGGCCCTGCGGCCCTATTGCGCTGTTGCTTGCCGGCAAGTCGCATCTTCCGAGGCACTCTTCAGAGAGCGGAGGTAGATCACAAGGAGGCGCGCCTCCTGCAAGCTTGTGCGGAGGAGTCACAGTCAGAATTCTAGCAAACACAGCAGACACAGAGGAGAGCCGAGACCCAAGGCGCTCCTCCGGGCTGAAGATCTTGGCAAATTGGGTGCGCCTTCTGAGCTCAGAGGAGACCGTCTGACATACAGTAGCAAGTCTGTTGGTATGACTGCACATGCCGCGGTTGCTGCGCAACAGGTTCCCTTGAGTTCTTTGAGCTGAGGAGCCGATCGATAAGCAGAAAGTTGGACGTTGCCGCTCCCGGGCACTGCCCCTGCGAGGTTGACACAAGGTCGACGCGATTCGATAACTTAGGGGCATGGTAACGAATGTACGTACAGTGCATTGTTAGTGCCTGATACTCAGACTGTGAGAAGTAAGCTTGCTTCAGGGTTCATCGAACGACAAATCATCTGTTCGCCCAACCTGCGGCTCCAACACCAAGAGCCAAGCCATTTGTGACAAGACACCAAAATACCAAAATCACCAAAAACAGTCACGAGATACCATTCCCGACCGAACGAACCCAAAAGGCGGCCCCTGATGATGGTAACCAAAGCTCCCAGAAAGATCTGGACTTGCTTTCAATAATGCAGGCTTGTGAGGATTTTAATGCGGATCAGCATTACCACAGAGTCAAAGTGATGCAGCTACTCTGAAGGGCACTACTTGATCTGTGTAAGGTTGCCTGAAGCTGTTACGGAGTGATGAGTCATGTCAGGAATTATCTCGACGCACGAGTTGAGTGTAGTGCTTGGAGCGGCAAAAGGTCCATACAGAAGCTTCAATGTTGCCGAGGACAAGCAATTACTTCAATCTGCGGCCATAATTAACTTGCTGAAGGCTCAATAGCCCCACCCAGCTCCAGCCCATCTCAGCCCTGAAGCCCCATGCGTGGCGCCCCAAATGCGCACCCAGCATCCACGGCCTGCCCGTCCAAAGCGAGCGCTGCAGCGCGGCTCCTCAAAGCCTGACATGGGTAGTGAGGGTTGACACTCCTTTGACTGCAGCCACGCATCCGACAGATTGGTGGGCAATGTGGAGAGTTTCGGAAGAGATGGGGACAAGCCGGGACTCGCCTCAATGTCCCACGGGATGGGCCCATCTCCGAGCCGCTTCAGCACCCAACCTGGGGCGACAATGTTGTTCGGCCGGACAACGATGACAATGCCTCCACGCGCCCTTATGTTCCAATCGGCCTGGTGGGGAGCCGCTGCCACAGAAATTCGGCGGGATGGCGACCGGCACGTCACCTCAGCGCGTCTTTCCGAGGCATATACTGTAACTCGGGTAAACGACTCCCACGCTTGCCGATATGCAGTCACTCTGAGCAAAGGCCGGTCTCAGGTGAGTTGCGAACGTGGAAAGGAAGCCTTCCTCGACGGAACTTGATGTGTCTGTATGAAATTCCATACCTGCATCGGGATCAGTGAGGATGAGCATACAAAGCACCCTTGCCGTGGCTCAGAAGTTTGCAGAAAGTATCCAATCGTACCATGGACCGAACTTGACCAAACGGGCTTTGGTGCATGGGAGCAAACGGTATAACATCTGGAAGGAGGCAGCAAGTTGCCGGCAAGCTTCGATTCCGCATCTGCCGTGTCCTCCTGGTAGTCAACGATGCCTGGGCTGGGAGAAGTGTGGCGTGCACCCTTCTCCTGTCAAGACGAGTCGAGGCCTACCTCGATGAGGTTCGGGTGCCTTCAGACTCTTTTGGGGACTCGCATGCCACCTGCTGCAGACTTCGTGTCAAACATGTAACTCTACCCAGCCGCTGAAACTCAAGCTGTTCAAGCCATCTGTCTTCCAACGGTCGCCCCCTGCCATGATCTCCTCGCACCGACAGATGAAGCAGGTGATTCTCATCGAAAAAAATCGTACATCATTGCCCGCAACAAATCGTCTCCGAGAGAGAGCTTGAATCTGACCTGACATGGATATTCTCAAACAGCATTTTCCTTACAATTTCGAGACGATCCGACGTAGAACATAATTTCGTGCCGGTATGGTCTCGGTCGTTTGTTTTCGATTCGGATCTTCGTCGCGATTCTCACTGCCTCAGCTTTGGGTATGGCCGAAGCATGTGCTGTCGAGTTGAAATCGTATCTTCCGAACCTGACTTTTGTCTAGTGCAGTGAAAACTCCAATGCATTCTCGATTCGACCGCGCATGCGCGGCTGCCGCCGGAACATGGTTCATGCAGGTTGAGCGGCACCACCAAAAGTTTTTCCAACTCGGTACATCTGGAACCGCTATGCACTAGATCGTGAAAGAAGTCTCGCGCAGATCTGGGCCCAGGGGTAGGGTGCAGCGATTCTTTCGCATGATTGCAAGCTGACACACAGGTCTCCTTGAGCTGCTCGATGTTGCGCGCATAGGCCCGATCTGGCGGGATAATGCTTGTGCATGACAAGCTGCCGATGAGTTCCCTGAGCTCAAAATTCCTATTGTTTTCTGGCTTCGCTGGACTATCACGAAGCAGCCTTATTCACTTGCAAAATCACGTGACTTGCGGCACTGACACCGTGAAAGTCAACTTTCCGACAGTACAAGCTAGGCAGGAAGGCGGTCGGTGATGCGCTTGGTATGGTTGGCGCTGTGCATGAACTTGCCGCTGAAGCGGCCGAAGCCTGCCAATCGAAGCGACAGCAGTAGATTTTGCTGCACTGGTAGCCTGATAAAACCGTTCAATCTGTGAAGCCACAAAATTCTCAAGTACTTAAAGCCTGCCGGAAACCGTGTGCCACTCATCCTAGAACTAACTACGACACATGGCAGATTGGAGCCCACACCAAGGGTGTCACATTGTCAGATTACGTCTGTACCAGGTCCAGACATAGTAAGGATT